CCCGTGGTGTTCTGCCTCCTGACCGTGTTCCTGGTGGTGGTGCCCCTGTACAGCGACACCGTCAACTCCCTGATCGGCATCGGCATCGCCCTGTCCGGCGTCCCCGTCTACTTCCTGTGCTGCAAAACGCCGGCCAGCCGGAGGCCGCTGTGGCTGCGCCGCTTCATCGGTGTGTGATGAATAAAAATAAAATATCAAGAGTCTTACAGATGTTTAGAGGTTTGTTAAGTTTAGGAGATGTGACAGGAACAAGGAGAGGGGGGGGGAGATAGTTATTGGTTAGTTATTGTTCTGAGAGGAACTGAGTTTTTTTAAAAGGTTTCCCTTTAATTTCTGAAACAAAACGTCTTCTTTCATCTACGATTTAAGGAGAAAACAAACCAGATGCTGTTTTACACCCAGAGTCCTGCATTTAGCAGAATTTTTTTATCCAAAAGTGGATTTGAAATCAATCTGTGCAGAAAAAGAGATTAAAATATCAAGAGTCTAACAGATGTTTAGAGCACATCTGCAGGTTTGTGAACTTTATGAGATGTGACAGGAACAAGGAGGGGGGGGGAGATAGTTATTGGTTAGTTTGTTCTGAGGAACTGAGTTTTCAGAGGTTTCCCTTTAGTTTCTGAAACGAAACGTCTTCTTTCATCTATTAGAATTATATCAGACGCTAATTTTAGCTGATTTTCAGTGCAATTACTGGAACACTTCAAGCCCATTTGAAGTCCAGTTTCTCTTATTTCATCGTCTTTTCGATGACGTTCTGTTCCGGTTTCTGCCTCTTTCAGCCAATTGCGGCGCCCTGATTCAGAAGGCCTGCTTATCGGTGGTGACCGAGATGGACGTGGACAAGGCGGAGTAGAGACGCTGCCCCCAACCCTGAACTGAACTCCAAAAAAAAACCTCAACACACGAACACTTTGGGGCTCCAGCTGGACGCTCTCAGCCTGCTGCTCCACGGCCAAAACCCACTCCTGAACAACTCACCGACTTCTGCTGCGTTTCTTAAGAGAATTACTACACTGATGAGTGTTTCGTGTCAAATTCCAGGCGTGAGATGCTCTTCTGATTTTACTTGAAGGCTGAAAAAAAATGTCTGAATGGCTGGAGAAGTGGGTTTGTTTGACACTGAGAGCACTGCTGACCACAGAAACAGCCTTAATTTCATCACTATTTGCACAAAAAAAGCAATAAAAGCGATCAGACTGTAACTCCGTATCAATTCACCCATGTTTGTAAGACTTTTGTACTGTCAGCTGTGAAGTAAAGGGCTATTTTTTCACAAATTAACTCCTTTCTCTGCGCCGTCTTCCTGAAAATGTGTGAAATAACGAGCGGGAAATACAATCTTAAAGCACAAAGACTGTTTCTTTTACTCATGATTCAGCCAATTATCAGGATAAAAGTCACCAAAATGTTTTTTTTTTTTTTTACAGGCAGGGTTTATATTTATACTTTAGCTGGAATAATACATCATCACAACCTGATGCTTATTTTGTTGGGAGGATCAATATTTACATAGTTCACTATTCTGGGGAGCGTTCATCCGATCGTGTCCTTCCAGGGCCTCGGTTTCCCCTCAGCTGGCTTCTCTTTGGGGGAGGCTGCTGCCAGGGGGGGCGTCTGCTGCAGGGGATTGTGGGTAAAAGTCTGCCTCAGAGGACCTGCCCGGTGAAAGGAGGGGATAATAAAAACACTTCGGCTCAGTTTAGACACAATAAACACCACATAGAAGGACAAATGAAATCCTTGATGGATGATTTGGCTTTAAAGAAGCAGAAAAAAGAGATAAAAACAGTCTCTATGTGAACCAATAGAAAAAAATATGAGAAAAATGTTCTATAACGATCTGATTTTAATGCATCTTTGGACAAAAACTGGTAGGTGAGTAAGAAATGAAGAATATTAAATACTGATTACGACACGTTGATGAAAGCTCCTGTTTCTGTTATTTTCTGCGATATAGTTTTGGATAAATGAGCGAACCTAAACTGACCTCAGCTTGTGTGCAGTAACTCAAATCAGTCACCAGGGGGCGGACTTATCCCACCTAAACTGCTTTTCTCGCATTAAGAGAATGTCCCATTCTTTTGAATGGCCTCTAAATAACTCAAGTTTACCGTCAGTAAGTCGTATTTTATCTAAAGACAGTTTTTAGCAGTTGAGCTGCCTCAAAAATCACAAATAAAGCCGAATAAAACTTCTACTACGAACCTTTGGCGGCCAGATCCAGGTGGTTCTTTATTCTCCGCTCCCTCTCTTCCAGCTGCTGAGCCAGCTGGGCGTTCTTCCAACCTGAAAAACCCAAACAGTTCACGCAAAAAAACAAGGGAGCAACTTCCAAAATGCCCTGACGTGGTTTATTAAAACAACTCGGGCCCCCGTTTGGGCCACACCGACCCTTTTTCATGCTCTCGATGAGCCCGTCGTTCTGGGGCAGGTCGGCGGGCGCGTGCTTGATCCTCTCGGGGATCTGGAACCTCTCGCGGACCGCGGGGTGTCTGAGCAGGGCCACTTGACCCAGGGAGAAGACGTTGGACGTCAGCCAGTAGGTGAAGACGGCCTGGGGGAGACACACCCGTAAACCTTAAACCTTAAACCTTAAACGGTGGGTCTGGAGCACCCACCGTGGGGTAGGGTTGTAACGATACTAAAATTTTCACCTCGATACCGATACTCAGGAAAATACTCGATACTCGATACCATTTTCGATACCACAAGGATAAAAATAAGGACCCCCAAATTTAACTGAATTGTGTCTTTCATTTCAAACTGACCTGTTACTGATGTTATCGTGACTGGTGGCCCACATTAATGACCCTAA